GAGGGAGGTAACCATATAGTAATTAGTGCATATGCATAAAATATGTAGTCATTAAATAGTCATTAGTATTAGTAATCGGTTAAACAATGGTCAAAGGAAATAAGGTATAAAAGGGAAAGGAGAAAAGGATGGAAGGTTTTTAGTTACTTCGATAGATAGAAAGTTGATTAGTTAGTTCTTTGTTGGATTAGTTGAGTTAGAGGATAATACTCTGGGAGTATTTCTTGGACGTTAGAATAAATAAAGAAGTCAATTGCTTACTTTCAGTGCCTCATATAAATAAATAAGCACTTGGTTCTGCCCCTTTAATGCTTATAGCCCTGAACCAAATTGGCCGCGTTGATTCAAAGTCCCTCCCTTGGCCGTAACAGATCTATAATAAATTTTAATAATGTGGATTTTTTGTCGATCATTCTTTTTAATAACAAAACGAATAAAATTTCAAACTGAAATAACTTCTGAATTACTTATGAGACGCATGCAAACTTATATTTATTAGATTCCTTTTAACATTCTCTTTTCATTAGTGATTCATTGTAATGATAATAACCTGTACTTTCCGGATTCAGGTTTTTCCTTGGCGGCACTCATATCGATATATGAATTCGTACTAATTTAACTCTGCAGATCTAACAGACAAATAAATTAGTACGAATTCGTATATGAATTTATAGATGAAATCAACCTTTAAAAAATTCGAATTTATGATTTATCAAAGTATGGATGACTAATAAAAATAACCTTTTTCCTCTCAGACGATGATTAAAATTTTTTTACAGTTTTTTAAAAATAAGAAAAAATGCTTCAAAAATATTCGTGTCCTCTTTGGCACTTGACCATATTTACTCTACTTTTTATACATTCTACCCTTGAATCTCAAATACCATCAAAATTTATTCAACGAGATTTATTATTAGACAGGACAAATATGCCTAGGAATATACTTGCTGCTTCCGCTCTTGGCGGTAAATTAGTTATTACTTCTGTTGCTATTATTATAATTATTGTAATCATCATCATAATTAATTTTAACAAACTACAGGAGGAAGTCATCTTGGTCCCATGACTGAAATTTTAAAGATTTTGATGGATCGTGGATATAATGTAATTGGTAATTGAATTTAATTATTATTCTATTTTTTTTTTATCTAATTGATTTTTTTGATTTTCAGGCGACATTAGTAGCACCAGGAAATTTTACTGCAAATTCTTACTCGTATCGCTCGATTCCACAAGTTATTGTAGATAAAGAAACAACCATTGGACTTTTTAATAAAGATTTGGTGAAAAAACTTTATTTCGAACATTCAAAAATTACATCGCTCAATGCGATGTTTGATCCTGATTTTTACACAAAAAATTATAAGATATTTAAACAAACCGCTATGGAAATCAATGCTGATTTATTTATTTGTGATATTGTTATGAATTTTCCATGTTTTGATCTTGCATGGGAATTAGAAAAACCTGTTGTTGGGATCACTTTTACTTCACTCTTTTGTAAGTATATTATGATTTATTCAATTTTACTCGAATTATAAATGCATTTAAAAAATATTCCTATTTGTTTTATCTGTTATATTAAATAGCCATCCCTTCACCATCATATAAATCGGATCCAATGTATGGATGTCGTGTGAATATGGAAAATGAATCTTTTTATGAAAGATTTAATTGCGCCATTGTAAAACCTTTAAAATTTCTTTGGATGTATATGGCAATGAGAAATGATTTAAATAATCAAAGAACAAAATTAGGTATCGAAAATTATTGGAACCCAAGAGCACGATTGGATAATATTTTATTATTGTACGATACTTTCTTTGGGTTTGAGGTGATTATATATTTAATACTCTTAACAATTATAAATTTATTTGAATAATAATAATATAATATATATTTTATTTTAATAATGGTTTATTACTTAACACATGTATAGATACCGTCTGCTATGTTGCCACTCCATCAACAAATTGGTCCTATTTTACCTGATACTTATCCAAATCTAACTCCAGATCTTGACTCATTTCTTAATACTCATCCTCGAACAATGTACTTTGCACTTGGAAGTCAAGTATTTACTTCTCCTAAAAACACTGCTATTCTCCTGAAATCTTTCATTAAACTGATTAATCAAAATATTATTGATGGTGTAATATGGGCTATTGTGAAAACAAATGTTACGGAATTAATGCCTTTCTCTAATGTTGACTTTCCTATATCGGATATTTTAAATAATAATTATCCTCATATTCATATCACAAAATTCGCTCCTCAATTCGCGATACTTTCTCATGAAAATACTAAAGTGTTTTTAAGTCATGGTGGTGCTGCTAGTAGTCATGAATCAATTTATACTGCTACTAGTAGTCATGAATCAATTTATACTGCTACCCCAATGCTAGTACTTCCAATATTAGGTGATCAATTTGGAAATGCTGAAAAATTAGAGATGGCTGGTATGGCATTAAGACTTTCAAAATTTAATTTAACTTTTGATGAAACAGTATTAAAGATTAGAAGGTTATTAAGTGAAGAAAGTTTTAAAAAGAATGCTGAAAGATTACAATTTGTAGCTAAAATGAATAGTAAAAGAAAATATCGTGCTGCTGATTTAATTGAAATGGTAATGAACTCTGTGAAGTATGATGGTATTAAGGATGAGAATGGAAATTTAAAGATTAATAATAAAGCATTGTTAAGGGATTGGATTACTCCTGATACGAGAATGGGTTTCATTAGAGGAAATTATATAGATGTTTATGGTGCTTTTATTATTATATTATTAGCATTAGTTGGTGGATTTGGCTATGTTTTATTCGAAGCTACTAAATTCCTTTATACAAAATACAAAATTCGAAATGGAGATTCAAAACTGAAAAAAGAATAATTGAATACATTTTAATATTTTTTCAGCTTTGTTTTAATAAATAATTTATATATTTTGTTATATGGTTTTCAAAGATTTTATTTTGTCAATTTATATACATGAATGATATCGCGTAGTAATTATTATATGGGGAATTTACACATAAAGGACCAAAAATGAAAATAATTACGGATGAGGACCCAAAATAAAAATTCTTACATATAGCGGCGCAAAATTAAAAATTATTACGAATAAGGGCCTGTCCGATCTCCGAGCTGTGCTAGGCGACTAAGCCACAAGACTTACCCGTAAACTGCCGTATACAAGACCCGGGTCTCATTTCACCAATTTTTAAAACCTATAATTAAACCTGTGGGTCTCTTGTATAGGTGTGGGTCTGATAATTGGATGTTTGTTTTATTTTTCCTATTTGTATACACCGGGTCTTTTACATTTTATCAAAACTTTATCCCATGTAATAGACCCGGATATAGTACATAGAGGGTCTGATCAGGAACACGGAAATTGTGATTTAGTGTGATTAAACAAAATCACACTAAATCACATAATTTTGCTTCACTTATATTACGTTAGTATCATGTG